ACCCCTGAAGGTGGAGGAGAATGTGGTCAGAACGCTAAAGGATATTCCATTTGAAGTAAGGCAACGGAGAAAGAAATACAAAGAACTTGTGCTCTTCCTCCAAACAAATTCAATTGGATACAAATGGCTATTTCCAGAAGGAGTAGCATTTAAGATCAAAGAGAAGAAGGTTAAGATAGACTCTGTTCTTAAGCTCAAGAATTTCTAAAGGAGCAGCTGGGAAGGTCAGAGGAAGAGAAAAAAGAAAAAGACAGCAGGTCCAGTGGCGAGCTGGAAACTGGTTCATCTGGCGAGGACTCTTTGTCTGAGCAGGGGGCAGCAGCCCCGAAAAGTCCCTACAAACTGCGGAAAAGAGAGAAGAAGTAAAGACTGAAGGACTCTGAATTGTGCCTTTGAGAACGTTGGTTCCAGGGGATGATGGGGGGCACTGTAAATGGGGAGGGTTAAAAGTTCTAAAAGATTGACACAGTTCATAAGAAGTACAAAGATGATAAGTTTGGATGCTTAAGAAAAAGCTAGTTAGAGGATCTCCTCTCTTGGGTTTTTAGTCAGTAGTGGGTTCTTTACTTTCTCCCTTATATGTAGTTTTCCCCTCCCCCTTTTCTGTTGTAGTTTTTTGTAGTGTTAAAAAAATCAATTAAAAAATCCCCTCAGGGGGCTCAAAAAAAAAAAGGACCCACGGTAAGTAGGAAAACCAAAATACCACAAATACCGTGCACAGATAATTATAACATATCATAAATAATTTTATATTTTTTTGAAAAATATTTTTACAATAATGTTTTCATATATAATTAATCATCTTAATCACAATTCACAATATAAGAGATACCAAAAATATCAAATATCATCTCCATAGAATCTCAAAAAATATTGTACAACCTTATAATTAATAATAGTCCTCCTCTGTTAAATAAAAGTTTCAAAAGGGAGGACTCAAAGTCTCTTTATAACATGTGCTCTGTCTTCCTCCAACAGAGGTCCAGATATCCATCTGTTTCAGAATCTTCCTCAGAGAGTTCAACAATAATTTTCAGCACAAGGTCGCCAAATACCAATGTTTTAATCCAAAATTCTCTTTCAATGAGAGACAAACCCCCAAGAACAATTTCCGTGGAGAGTTTGTGTTGAGCTGTGAGTGACCAGTAGCTCCAGAAGTATGTGAATAACTTCCCACAGGAATTTTCTTTAGTGTCAAGAAAAAAGCTGGATGGGAGCAAGACCCCTGTTCTCCACCCATGCCAATCCCTTCAGAAAAATCATCTTCTTTGGCTTTTCAAGAGCAAGTAACATTCTTGGAGCTGACATATGACTTTGATAAAAGCAGTGAATCTGGACATAACTCATAAACATTTCTTGTAGCTTAGCCTTCAGACTCCCTTGGCCCACCCCTTCAGAACTTAGCACTGTTTGGAACTTAGTACAGTTCTGCAGGGCCTGCAAGACGGCACTCTTCCACCAGGCTTTCAATTAGGAGCCGCCCACCACCCACCGCCCACCACCACTACCGTTACCATCTACTACTACTGTCATCAACTGCATGGTGGTGGGTCAGCCCTTTAAGAGATCGTGGGAGGCCGGACTTCCGGTTTTGGCGGGCTGATGGTGGCTGCATCCCCAGGGAGCTCCTAGGGGGTGATCTGCGGACCTTCGCAATGAGAGGGGGTGTGAAAATCCGTATCCCCCTGGGACCCTTGCAATGGGTCCCTTGCCATGGGGCACTGAGGGTTGCCTCTCTGCTGGCATGCTGCCGGCAGATGGAGGCTTCCCTTTGCCCTGAAGGTCTCTGCGCTGTGTTCCCAAATGGGACTAAGCTACGCACACTGGGACAAGCGCTTGGATCGGCCGTTTACAGCGCTCTTCTTACAGGGGCTACTGTAAGCTCTTGGAGGATTGGCTACATTAGGGGTGTGTCGCGTAATATGCAAAGGAGTCCCTGCTACAAAAAGAGCCCTGCTCCTCTGTAACCTGCCCTCCCCAAGCTCCAGTAACGTGCATTGTCAACATGATGTGGTTGTATGTGCTAGA